CACTAAGGCAGAGTTGTTTTCAAAATGTGAGCTTTGACCTGTAAGTAGTTTGTTACAGCAATTTAATGAGCCTAGAAGTATTTTTTTATTTTAATAAAGTAAGGTGGGGGTAAAGAACAAAAAAAGAAAATTAAGATGCTGAGATGGGAACAAAAAAATCCTAGTGTCTCATAAAACTTATTTCCATTCTCTGGGTCACACAATCAACTGGGTTTCATATCAAAAATCCTTACCAGAAAAAGTCATGCAAGAAGACACATCATGTAAAAGACATGGCAATGCTGTCCTCTACATGTTATGTAAAAGACATGACAATGCCCTGCACCCAGTAGTCCTCACTTCGTACAGATCGTACAGATCGGAGGGTGCTGAGAGGCTGGGACACATGGACCACCTGCGGAGGCACTGTTGTTCCAGCTAGCTGACTCACTGGGAATATCCCCAAGTGCTAGAGCACTTCCTTTGTTCTTGTGGGTTGAGCCCAAGCTGCACTCTCCCACAGATGGCAACGTCTGCGGCACATGTTACATCATTTTCTTGGATAGACATGACACAGCACAGCACACTATCTGTCCTGGAAGTCCATGGCAGAGGTAAAGCAGGGACCCAAAGCACCCCTGGGACCACGTTTCTGTTTACTGAGGTTCTTGGTGAGGCAATAGGAGCATAGGGTAAAACATAACCCATGTTCCCATGTTTCAGGCTCCATGCAGGATATTTCAGATGCCTCATCTCAGATGAAACTACATATAATCCAGACTTTCCAACCCTGATGAGAAATAGTAGCTGTATTAAATGAAAATGAAAGAGGACGAGGTGAACAAACCCGATTGAGACAAGCCTAGCCACTGTCCCAGGTGCTCTGGGAACTCGAGCACTTGCTGAGTCTAGCAAACCAGGGATGTTCCTGTGATGTACCTAGGAGTCAGCAAGGAAGTTTAGTGGTTGCTAAGAAGTCCAAAGGCTAGTTCAGCATTCACAGTCCCTCCACAGGTTCTGCTGAGGGCAGCCACAGGTGAGTCATACACCACGCAGAAAAGTAGAAATAGGCCCATGAGGTCAGAGACACACTGCTTTCCAATGTGTGGCAAGACTGTTGCATGAGGAACTGAAAATAGAATGACTCAAAACAAAACCTGGTGCCCCCACCAGGATGATTCCTTCCCTGACCCAAGTCTGGGAAGTGTCACCAGTGAAACCTTCAGAAATCAGAGTTTCTCATCAGAGAAGAACACAACTAGATATTCTCAGAGGTGCTCAGTGGCGTTTTTACCACACTGGAAGCCAAGCCCCTTCTCCACCTTGAGGTGGTTTGAACCAAATCACTGAAATGCTTGGCTCTGTGTGGTTGTGGTAGAAAGGCTCTCTATCAAAGGCTGATTCCAACACCACAAGCTGAAGATAAATAAGAGAGGAAATGAACAAGACTCTGCCCTCATGGTGACCCCCTGGACCTAAATCTTCTCTAGACCTCAGAATATCAAACAGGCCAGCAGCCCTGTAGGAGCCGTCAGTGTAGGAACAGTATGGGAGTTTCTTCAGCCTGCAGGAGCCTTATTCTCTGGAAATTAAGAGAAATCCCAAAGGAAGTTCTTGTCTGAATCTCCAAAGCAAGGGGCTTGCTTATTCATCCTTGCTTTAAATGAAAACATTCCTTTCAAAAAATATAATCCAGGAAAGGTACGTTTGCATTCACTTGAGAGTCAGAATACTAAACTTGAGATTTTTAGAATTCAAGAAATGTCATCTCCCACCAACTAGTCAAAGCAAAAAAGCAAATAAAACAGAAGCACAGGCGCCTTCTTTCCCTGTAGATGTTGGTTATGGATTCAAATGGCAATCAGTATGGAGATTTGCTTCTCAGCAGATACATCATGAAAGTGATGCTTGGAACCAGGCTCACTCTGCTTGTGGAGCAGGTTGACACAATGATTCCCTTCCTGAAACAGTGTCAGCAGCTAAGGCTGAAGGCATCCAGTTCAACAAACCAGACATGGCCTTTAACTGCCTTGGGAGTATCCAGCATGCAGACTGAGCCAAAGTCTGTTAAATCCTAAGAATAACAAGACACCAGAAGCACACAGGTTGGTTGACAGAGATTACAGGTAGAAATGGGTACCAATGTTTCTTCTACTCTCTCTCCTCTTGTCAAAGAGACAGTGTCATGCCCAGAACTTGTGTTGACCTCAGAGTTTAGGAGCCTTTCTTTAAACTGGTTTAACAAAATGGGCTCTTCTTCTCAGTGTGTCATCATAAACATGAAGGGTTTCAGTACAAGAAGTGAACTTCAAACCCTGTTATTGTCATGGAATTAATTTTTTAAATGTTGTATCACTAAATCCTTCCATCAATCAACCAACTAACCACACAGAGATCTGCATTTTTAGGCTGAAACAGGAATCCGACTGGGTTCCTGTGAGAGTCCCTCAAAGTAGTTTAAATCATAAGTAAGGGGAACTCCTCCTGCCCTTGCTACCTGAGTCCCTGACCTTGTGGCAGACACCCCTTATACATCTATGGCATTTGGTGATGGTCCATTTTGAGGCAGTCACTCAAACAATGCATCAAACTGGAGGCCCCTTTTCAGAATGTGCTCCCTCCAATAATGAGGTAGATTAGATCTCCAGATTGACAATGGCTAAGAGTGACAACTCATACTTGACTGTTTCTCTCATTTTCTGCCAAAGCAATAACGATGCAATGAAGAAATATGAAAGTAGGGTGGGGGTACAATTAAATTACCTTTTTGCCTAGGGCCTTTGTATAGTATAGTAAACCCATTTTCATATAGCTGCTTTATCTTCAAGAACCACTTACTGTGGTCAACACAGTGTGTAAGCACTGAAGATAGAGCCTCTATGTGAGTTCATATCTACTCCTCATGAATTCCAAGTTATTATTTTATTCAATCTTATGGTTATCAAGGCTAAAGAAGCTGAAATACTTAATTCACCTGGTTTTTGCATTATACTGATTTTTCCTGCAGAGAGACTTGGCTTCTTTCACTTTCACTGATCTTTTATTATAGATTTTAATAATTATCAGACTTGCAAACATTTGTCACATTTCCCTATCAACAAGTGCCTTTCTATGCAGATATCTAGGACAGTGTGTGTGTGGCAGGAGGAGAAGTTGGAAGAAGCAAGGTCCCCCGTCGATGATCCGAACCTATGCTCGCAGTCCGTCGTCCCCTAAGCAGCCTTACATCAGTGAACCCGTGATGGCCAAACCACTATAACTACCTCAACCCCCCCCCCTTCCCCCCACATCCTAATCAACTATTGACCAAGTTATTGGGACCTTCTCCATAAATACCGGTGTTGGCAAGTGTGCCCAATCCCACGTCAAACAAAGTCATGATTTATTCAAGCCATTAACTTTAGATCAACCATGCATTATCCAAGGCCCTCTCAGATACCTGCCCACCTTTCCACCTATCCCCCCTTATAGCCCTCCTGCGGTGCTAAGCACTTGCTCCCGAAGGCAACACTGAGATATATCTCTACATGTCTCACCAGCCACCTGTACCATAGCGATCCAACCACCCAAAAAGTTTATTCAAACTATCCCTAATCAAATAAAACTCACTAACCTTAACCATCCACACTCTTTCTGTACCACCCTATCAAACACATACTGCATATTGTAATAATACCATTACCTAAACAAATAGTTACTACCCAACCCCTAAATACTAATGCCTCCCCACACCCTCATTAACATACACAAAAACACCATACAAAATTAACCCTTGAAATCAAATTAAAAAAGCAACTCCCCACCCCAACAAATTTGAAACCCTATAACATACCCAAAACCTTTAATTCATATTACACCCACATTTATATTAATAGTCCCAACAACACTACCCCCCCCCCTAAACACCTCCAATTTGTATACCTTATATAACTACAAACCAAATTCACAACCACAATATACCCACCACCCAACCATTACTAAATTCCAACCACAACATATTGCCCCCATATTTCTATTCACATTAATACCACACATATAATTTAGGATCCAGCCAAGAAGGATGTTAAATGGTCTGAGTGAAATGAGAACCTTTTCCCCAACGAATGATAATCACACAAAACACCAATATTATCAGCACCAGGAAGGTTCAGAGGATACAGTTAGGCATTAATACAATCAAATCCAGGAACTGTGGTAGCCTTGAAAGGAGATGCCATCAGTGTCCTAGTAGGAGAATCTAGATGGGCAAGATTGACATTTTGAGATTTGATTATTGTTTACAGTCTTTGTCTAAACTCTGGTGGAATAGTAAGTGGCTTTATTTTTTCTGCTTGCTATATGTTGAAATCTTTTTCCTAAGGGAGTGGTAAGTCTGTGATTGTAGGGAAATGAGAATATGCCACCGTCAACATTTTTAAAGAGAAAAAAAGAAGTAAGGAAGGGAGTGGGTAGGGAATGTGGGCAGGTGGGAACTATCACTACGCTCTTAACTCTTCATTGTGAAATATGTGAAATTTGTTCACTTCATACAAATACAATGTTTTTCAAAATAGAAGAATCTAAATGAAGTTTTAAAGTATAGGAACTATGTGTAAATATGCGATTGTCCTGTATACTTCTTGTGACCATTGCTACTCATTCATAGAACTTCTATGAGGATGAACAAAACAAACACCAAAGTTTCTCCCATAAATCCATAGAATTCAGTTTCCTGCCCAAGATAGTTAAAATTGAACTTTGTCTGAGAACAGCTCAGCCCTATCAGGCTCTCCTATGTTCAGAATGTGAATTTTGAGCTCCTTTAGAAGGCCTTGCATTATGTCCCTTCCCAAACTTCCATATTCAGATTCCTCCCTGCCTCACTGAGCACTTTCATCAAAGATTATCTTTTAAAATGCACCCAAACTAAAACATGAAGGTCTGAGCATACTGTTCAGATGTCTGCAATCAGTAGATTTTTACTTTTTAGTGAAGTCTAAAGTGTATTTTAGGAGAATTTACCTCTAGGTGTCCAGTCATACCTTGTGTTTATGGCATCACTAAAGCGTTTCTTCTGGGATTTGCAGAAATGTATTACCACGCAGCTGCCAAGCTTCCATGGTCTTCACATGGGAGATCTGTAATTTATTAAATATAGAACTTAGAGTGAATCTATCCAGATGCTCTGAAAAGACACCAAAACCAAGGGGTGAGCAGTGATCAGCATGGAGAGGGAGTCTTGGTCAAGAATTGGGAGAATGGGGCCTGGCGCGGTGGTGCAAGTGGTTAAAGGTCCTCATCTTGCACGCCCGGGATCCCATATGGGCGCCGGTTCTAATCCCGGCAGCCCCGCTTCCCTTCCAGCTCCCTGCCTGTGGCCTGGGAAAGCAGTCGAGGATGGCCCAAAGCTTTGGGAACCTGCACCCTGTGGGAGACCTGGAAGAGGCTCCTGGCTTCGGATCGGCATAGTATCGGCCCATTGCGCTCACTTGGGGAGTGAATCATCGGACGGAAGATCTTCCTCTCTGTCTCTCCTCTCTGTATATCCGCCTTTCCAATGAAAAAATAATAAAAATAAAATCTAAAAAAAAAAAAAAGAATTGGGAGAATGATTTTGATAGCAGCCTCTTCAGTGATCCAGACATTGCCTTTTGGGCTCCAAAGCTCTGAAGAACATAAGCTTCAAAAGTGAATTCCCATCAGCCTGTATTTTCTTTTTCCCTGGGGATTATTGCATGAAATCTGCTACAAGTTCAGTGTTTATCTTATTGGGAGTCATCTTTTTTTTTTTTCTTAAGGCAGATTTACCAAGAGAAGGAGAGGAACGTCAGAAAGATTTTCCTTCTGCTGATTCACTCCCCAAGTGGCTGAGCTGATCCGAAGCCAAGAGCCAGAAACTTCCTCCAGTACTCCCACAAGAGTTCAGAATCCCAAGGCTTTGGGTCATCTTTGACTACTCTCCCAGGCCAAAAACAGGGAGCTGGAAGGGAAGTGGAGCAGCTAGGACATGGACTGGCACCCATATGGGATCCTGGCACATGCGAGGAAGAGGATTTTAGCCACTAGGCTGCTCACTCAGGTCTGGGAGTCACAATCTTTAGTGTGAGAGAGGAGCTTCCAAGGAAAAGACTTCCCTGTTCATCTAAGGGACCTCATGGCTCACCAGAAGATGACTACTAGCCTGACACAAAGGCTCTCAGATGTGCCCACACACTCCAAGTTTTACCAGCCCATTTTCTGCCAATAAAGGACCATCTGTACACAACCCAAGAGATGACAATCTTTACGATCCTTTCTGAAAATGCCAGTAACAGCAGGGGACTTCTAATAAATACTAGGAAATGATGGAAAGAAGTTCTTTCACCAGAAGAACGATGAAATGATTTCCACTCAGGCCATCTATGAGAAAACCAAAACCATCCTCTACTCAAAATGGAGAGGTAAATCAGTTACAACCACCAATATTAATTGTGTATTTTGGTGTGATCTAATTTTATACCTATAACAACACTCTCAAGAAGGGATTATCATCATCCTCTATGGAAAGGTGATGACCCCTACTCCCATTCATTTGTCTAAATTAAACTGAGCCTTGAACTCAGGTCATTCAGACTTCTGAGCCTACAAGATGAACCAAATTTCCCACTTTCCCAATCAATGCAATCAGGCCGTGTGAAGCTCATACAATTGGAAGTAGGGATAGAGAGAGAAGTTTTTTTCAAGAATGAATACAATGATGATGGCAAAATTCAATAAAAGGCCTTGGAAGTGGTTCATCAAAGGAGAGAGGCAGCAATGGAAACTTCATAAGCTTCACATTAAACCCACTTTTGACTGTGATGATGCTTCTACTCCAACAACGTGAATATGAACAATCATTGCTCTTCATATTGGAATACACAGATAACCCACTTGGCTTAATATTTTAGAATTTCCAGTAGGATAGCAAAAATTGTTTTTAGAAACCCAGAAACCCCACATGCCCTGTTTCCAGCTGCCAGGCACTTTCTGTACATCCAAGTCGCATCCCACCTGTTCCCATTCTCTTCTTGAAATCTCACCTGCTTTAGTTTTTTTTTTTCTAGTTATCCTTCCACCTAGATTGTTTCCACTTCTCTTTGAACTTAATAATAATTGTTGTTACAACTCGCCCTTCCTATGTGTATTTTAGGCATTGCTATACGTTGTATACTCACTGCCTATGAAAAAGCCTGTTGTCATTTTTCAAGTGAGGAAATGCACACCCTTAGGAAGTAGGCATTTTGTCTCAGAAATTCATATTCTTAACCACTAGCCACAGGTCCTCAAGTAGCCTGGGTGGATCAGACATTAACATAAGCAGATTCCTTAAAGGACAGAATGAAGTATAATAAGTTTACAATGCTTTGCAATGAGCAATATAGAAGGCTAGGTATTCTGTGAGTCACAAACCTTGTCAGAATTCCCTTCTGGTATTTTTGGATAGAGTACGAACAAGAATATATTATGAGTCAAATCAGCAATTCTAAGATGTGGAAGACCTTGAAATGTGTAAAACTGTGAAGTGTATTTTTCCCTAGATGGCAAATTTTGTAGCCCAAAGGATAAGCTTGGAAATGCCTGAATTTCCTCACTTATTAAAAATATTTTACAGTCATTTTCAAGCTACCTGTTCAATATGCTACTCCTGAAAACCAGTAGCCAATAGGGAATGGTACATGGAAACCAGGCAGGGCTTTAAACTAATTAAACTTACTTGGCCCCTTACTTGGGGATACAGCACCAAAGTCATGGAGGGGGTACATTTCTGAGTCATGTTCCTTAAACTTGAACATCTAACACAGTCTCAAAATTTGCCTAATTTAACCCTTTAATTTACACCTGAAATCCACAAGATCCTGAGATGCCAAAAGTCACAGTGCTCATGATCATCACTTCTTCCATAAACTCATTCAACAGATCATAGGAAGAAGTGAGAAGACTTTCCACTGTGTGAGGAGCACACAGGTACAGCATCCATCAACTCACAGTTGTGTAAAAATTCCCATCTATTGCACAGACAGACAAAATCTTCCTGGACTTGGCTTGCCTATTCACTGTCACCTGTCACAATTCCTCAGCAGAAACTTCCTTCCTTTACATTTCCTAGAAAGGATTCATTATGCTTCCCAACCTTTGCGTAGCTTTCTCCAGCCAGCTTGCTTCTCCACATATTCTTTACAATGAATGTTTGCCTCACACTGAAGCTTTTACTCATCCTCCCCAGCACTCCTCCAGAAACGATCACTTTTATTTCTCTTCTGTTCTCTCAACACATAGTTCTCAGGAATTTGGGTGCTTCCCATGTTGTAATTTAGTTACTGGCATTGGTTCTTGCCATTAAACTCCAAACTTCTTATATGTAGAGAGCCAATACTGGTCACATTTTAACTACCTCATGGATATTGAAGGATGTCATCATCAAAATAACACTTAATATTTAGAATGTTGTAGGGATAACATTCTAAAAAGAGAATATGGTCCAGATAGAAATCACCATTCTTCTTCTTGAGCATATGCACTGTCTTCCATCCATCCCTTTTTGGCTGAGCAAAAGTGGCAGTGTCATCTCCATGGAGAATCACCAAGAGTATGTACTCTTTTTCTATGCAGTTGTTGGTCTCAAATCCTTGTGTTGGCCAGGCAACAACATAAGGCAGAAAGGGGATTCACATTTTGTCAACACCGATTCAGAAAGAGGAACAAAATCAATCATCTTCCACACTGAATATTCTGCTTATTACTTTCCTTCCATTTACAGCCATTGTCAAAACTAATAGAGCAGCTATTTTTTCAGCAAATAGCTTAGCCAATTCTCCCTAACTTGTATTCATATCTGCTGATATCTCCATTGTATACACCTATCTCAGGTCTTAGAATTTGTTGACAAGAACCCTGGTAGGTTTGCACAGATAAAGCATTCGTTTTTTTTTTTTAATTTAAAGCAACCAAAACATATTGGTCTATGCAATTTCCAGTTGGATTTATGAAAGTCACTGAAGGAGATCTCTTTTGGTTTCTGCTAAGTAAGTAATTTTAAATACCAAACATCAATGTTGTGTCTGCTCTCTTCGCCAGTGTTATCAATGAGTTAATACAGTACAAAAATTATGGAAGATGTGAATACAACTTTAAGGCTAAACAAAACATTGCTATTTGTCTAATTCAGTCCAAAGAATCTTTGATGATTGCTTGAAAGACACAGGTAAGATATACAATGTCAGACTGGTACTGTACTAGCTAGTGTTTAAGAGCAAGGTTTCAAAATTAACAAGTTAACACTTAAATTCTACCTTTTACTTGTTTCATGGCTGTGGTCAGGTTATTTAATCTAGTTTTATTATTTACAAAATAGATTTAAAAAGCTACCTTCATTTGGTTATTATAAGCATTACATCCTTATATAAACTCAAGTAGAAAGAACCTTGGCATACTTAACTTGATATCTGATAAGCATGATGAAAAGTAGTATGAAGTCAGCCATAAGTAACACCTGCTCATCCACATAGCTTAGGTTGAAAAAAAATCAGAATAAGTGACAGGAGAAGTAGCAGCTGGATGCAAAGAAACCAACTCAAGTTTATTTACTTTCACATTTATTGTTATTTTGGGAAAAACTGATGGCAGAAAATTGAGGAGTGGCCACAGGTAGAGGTTATATCCTCTTAACTTGGAAACCCAGGATTGGGAGGCTACTAGAACTTAGTTCACAGTCTCAGGGCTCAAATCAATTTTTTAATTCTTAAAACTCTAGCTTTCATTTTTATCCTTTCTGGTATGCCGTGCATCTATATTTTTATCCCTCTATATGCTTGGAAAAATATTTAGCATGCTCTGCATGCCATTGCTTACCTGGCATTTCAACATGATACACTTTTGATTGGTAACTATAGATCAGAGCATTGAAATCCTCCTCATTTAGTTTGTAGGTATAGATGGAACACTATTTATTTCCCAGATTTCTGTAAGTAGATGTTTAAACTGTTTCCAGTAGAATTTGTATGCCTGGCCTCTACACACATAATCACACATTCTTACCACCCATTCAAACTGAGAAAATAAGGCCTGGGGCCATAAGCCCTGGGGGGTTAGGGGTCAGGCAGAACCAGGGGCGCCTGGC